ATTAAAGCTACTTTGCAATTTTATGCAAATGGACATGCCTATTTGTATAGCTATATCGACTAAAAAAATATTATTTTCATTCATATGTCATATCCAGAAATGATCTTTTCACATCTCTTTCATACAAGGATGTTCTTTAAATGATAAAGGCCAACTAATAACTATCAAAACTCTATGACAAACAAGATGATATAAGATTTTCCATCGTCAACTTTCCTTGTTTTTGTGGTAATATTCCACCATCAAGAGCTAGGTCACTGTTCATAAACTCCATATATTTCATTTCTGCTTATGGTATTGATATTTAGCAACTTACAAGGTACAATCAATTTTTAAAGCAAGGCATGTTACTCAACGATAAGCTTATATTACAAGAATTACAACAACCTCGATTATATCAAAGTCGGCATTTCGTATATTTTTTGGTCTCTATAATGACCATTGTTGTAAACTATAAACTATCATTGGGTCGTACTTGACTTACTTATTTAATATCAATTGTTAGCCTGAAGCCTTTGTTTTATACTGAATTTGGCTACAAAAAGATCATTTTACCAGGTCAATACATAAGGGTTACGTTGGGTGTGAGCGGTCAACAGAGGATGGTTACTCCTCCTGGACATCTGATTCCACCTCTGGGATTTCCAGGGTTCTGTGTTTTATGCCCTCTTAACCTATATGTATTGTTGATGGAGTTTTTGAGATCGAACACTGTTCTTATCTTCATCCTTCACACAAAATAATCGGATTATTAAAAAGCAGGATGGTATATAGTAATGTCCGTACATCCGTCTCTCCGTCCGTCTATTACGCTTTTGGTTACCAATCCCTTATCTGCAACTCCTCTTTCACCACTGAATAAAATTTAATGAAACGTACACAGTCTTTGTTAAATAATGCCATTGTGGCCTCCTATTTAATTTTTGATTGGACACGTATTTTGGGTTTCCCAGAACAAAGCATAAGTACTGTTATTTTCTCTATAATACTGAAGGGTACCCATCTCGTATCCATAATTCCTCCTTTAATAATACCTTCACAAATTCTTAATTACAGAATGCCATTTTGCACCCCCTATTTTACTTTTTGATCTGATACATATTTCGGGTCATCCAGAGCATAACATGCCTATGAACTTTGCCATTATAACCATATGGGAGGCTCATTTATTGAGCTTATTGGTCCCAGTGCCTCTAGTTTGTATGCAAAATCGTGCATGGCTACCACTGTATGTTTACAAAAACATAAAACAACAAATTAGAATATGTTGAGAGAAGTACAATGGATTCTTGCATTGAGAGAGAGAGAGAGAGAGAGGTATTCTCACAGGGCACATCTGAATCTATGCTCTGCATGACATTCTTGGAGCAAAGCTCGGACCAGACCTGTCGCTCGGTTGTTAAAGTTGGTACAAATATCGAGACTACAGTATCCCAACTCGATGTTTCATAAGCTATATTTATGAAAAGTCAACATACATCAAATTTTCAAAAGTTTGATATTGATTTTGGACTTTATTTTCAAGAGAGAAAATTGTAACTGGACTCGATAACATTTTTCTCCCCAATTAGCAATTGTTATAATAATACTTTTTCTAATGTTACGCTTCCTGAGTTTTTGTTCCTGTAAAAAAGAGCTGAAGTAGAAACAATCCATATGATAAAATATTAAAGCTGAGATAGGTTCGAGAGTTGCCTATTCGCTTGCCAAGGGTGATGATCCGCTACGAGAGGAGCAGAGTGTCACCCTTGGCTAGCGATGATGCGAGAGCTGATGCAGGCATTCCAACAGAAAGGCGGACAAAAACGAGAGCCTGCATGATAGAAACTTACGGTAGAGCTGGATATCAATGTATTCTCCACATTGGGGAACATACAGCCTTGCAACTACATGTTTATTTATCTACATCGGGATTTCTATGAATCAATATCTTTACCACCTTATAGATCTACATTGTGTGAGAATTTAAAAAATAAGCCTCCTTTTATATGTGATATAAAGCACCTATAAATATTCTATAAATATTTCCATCGTGATGTATTGTTACAATGTTCAGAATCAAATACTGAAACCTATAAAATAGATTTACCCGATTAACAATTTAGCTTGTATCACTCCTTTTGCACTTTTCAGTTGATCATCGACATGTACTAAACTACATGATGTACTGATGCATACACGAATATCAAGTATCAAAGTAAATATTTGATATACCCCGTTAACAGAGTGAAGCCAATAAACAGCTTTTTAAAGACCCTTTCATCACATGTACACAATTCAAATGACTGCATAAGAAATTATTTATAAATGTCATTCCAAAAATGCCTTGACTATGACATGTTTTTTTCCCCCGCTTAAAAAGTGGGGGATATTAATTTCGGTCTATCCGTCCGTTTTTCTGTCTGTCTGTAACGCTTTCGTTTCCACACGATATCTCGAGAACGCTTTGAGCTTTTGCAACAAAATTTTGCATAGCAACTTCCTATGGACCAAAGTAGAACACTATTGATTTTGAGGTCAAAAGGTCAAAGGTCAAGGTCATAAATTCGCAAATTCTGTCTGTTATAACACTTTCGTTCCCGCGCGATATCTCGAGAACCCTTTAAGCTTTTGTAATGAAATTTTACAAGACAACTCCCTGTGGCCTAAGAAAGACCCCTATTGATTTTGAGGTCAAAAGGTCAAAGTTCAAGGTCGTAAATTTATACATTCTGTCTGTGTGTAACACTATCGTTTCCGGGCGATATTTCAAGAAGATTTTGAGCTTTTTCAATGAGATTTTAAACCAATATTCCCTGGGGCCCTTTTTATAAGTGTCCCTTCCTGTTTGTTTTATTAGTATTTATTGTATTATATGTCGCTATTTTTAGCACAGGGGCATGAAGAGAGTTATCACGTACAAAACAGGTTCTCGGCTGACTTTATATTCTTAATACATCTATTAGAACTGTTTCATAAAGATTAAATTATACACCATGCATTGTATAACATTTTGACAAATATCGAACGTGAATATATACACATGTATGTGACTTCATCTTTGCATATAATTTTCATCGATTTAAAGCGGTTCCGTGGTGTAGTGGTTTGTCTCTCGCTTCACGTGTGAGAGGTACCTGGATCGAATCTCGGTTGGTCCATTCTCTTTTTTTTTTTTTTTGAAATACTTTTTTTTTTACTAAATGATAGTTTTCAGCATGTGAAATGAAAAATTTATCGAGGTCTGGCTTGTACAAACTCATAAAATCAGTATTACAGTGTGATAAATATTCCATATAAAAATAATCCTCTATACACATAATAAAGAATAAGCAATCAAATTTTTATATCCATATTGGCATATTTCATTTGCTTCAGTATACATGTATACATTTAATAATTCTACAAATTCAGTCAGGGGGATCCGAATCTCCCCCCCTCTCCCCCCGAACTGCACATGGTTTACTTTTTAGCTCACCTCGACGAAGTCGAGATGAGCTTATGCTATACCCCCGGCGTTGGCGTCGGCGTCCCAGGTTAAAGTTTTAGGAGCAGGTCCATTCCCAAGTAACTATAAGCCCTACCTGAACCAAACTTGCATGCATGATGCATCTAGGAATGGACACTACCAGACTTGCTTCGGATGCTGGATCTGACCTACATTTTCCAGATGAGTGACCACGTTAATGTTTTTGGAGCAGGTCCATTTCCAAGGAACAATAAGCCCTACCCAGACCAAACTTGCATGGATGATGCATCTAGGGATGGACACTACCAGACTTGCTTCGGATGCTGGATCTGACCTACATTTTCTAGATGAGTGACCAGGTTAAAGTTTATGGAGCAGGTCCATTCCCAAGGAACTATAAGCCCTACCCGGACCAAACTTGCATGGATGATGCATCTAGGGATGGACACTACCAGACTTGCTTCGGATGCTGGATCTGACCTATTTTCCAGATGAGTGATCAGGTTAAAGTTTTGGAGCAGGTCCATTCCCAAGGAACTATAAGCCCTACCCGGACCAAACTTGCATGGATGATTCATCTAGGGATGGACACTACCAGGCTTGCCTTGAATGCTGGATCTGACCTACATTCTTAAGATGAGTGACCAGGTTAAAGTTTTTGGAGCAGGTTTCCGAATGAACTATAAGCCCTACCCGAACCAAACTTGCATGGATGATGCATCTAGGGATGGACACTACCAGACTTGCTTCAGATGCTGGATCTGACCTACATTTTCATTCCCAAGTTACTATGAGCTCTATTTGGACCAAACTTGCATAGATGATGCATCTAGGGATTGACACTACCAGACTTGCTTCGGATGCTAGATCTGACCTATATTTTCCCAAACAAGAGACCAGGTTAAAGTTTTTGGAACAGATCAATCCCAATGAACTTGAAGTCCTAGATATCTGCAGTATTAACAAAGTTATGAATATTTGTTTACACTATACATGTTTTTCCACAGTAGACGCTTTGAAATGTGTATATGCCATGTAAGGGGTTAAACAGAACTTGGAAGAATATTATTGTCGGGATAAACACCAACTATTAAGAAAAATATGTGTGATTTGCATTATTTAAACTGATAACATTCGTCGAGGTGAGCTTCGTAATCTTTGATTACCTATGTTTCCCTAAGCGGGGGACACAAATTCTCTGAATTCGTTTGTTTTATTTTCAATAAACGATTGTTAAGTAATAGAGTGAAAAATGAGGTAGGCAATCCCCCAATTACTACATGTACCTGTTTACCAAATTTACTGGTAGATGGAATGCCTGATGCCCATATGACTCTTTGGAATATTTGCGTTATGTCATTATAAAATATAAGGTTTTCTAAAATCGATTAAGAAAACAACACTGCAGGCTTAATTCTCATAATTTATTTATAAATCTCTTTGAATCATTCTACAATATCGTTATATAACATGGTCTGTTTCATTAGTGCGCATGCGTGATTTTTCCCTCCCTTAGACAGAGTTGCTGCTACACAGATAAAAGTTCAAATTAAAATGGATATGGAATAACAAGCATAAAATGGAAATAAAGATTTTTATCATAGCTTACAGTGTAATCACAGGTAAGAAAAAAAATGAAAATACATAAATCTTTCGGAATTAAAACTAGTATAAAGTAGATGGAAATGTAGAAAACAATACAAAAGACAATTTAGAATAGAATTTTAATTTCGTTTTAAGCGAAAGATTAAATTCACCATTCTTTGGCTATACAGCTCAACGCACTTTATAAGCTCACATGGTTTTTCGCACAAATTAAGGTCACATTGTTATGATGTAATATTGTGTATCTAGGCATCTAAATACATTTTAAAAGTATTTGTTTACATTATTTGAGTTTTACCGGGGGTATTTCATTTACTAAAACATAATTCACACATATCAATTGGAAGAAATTTGATATTTTCATGTCAGAAAAATAACAACTACTCTCATTTGATTTTTTTTGGTTTCTTGCCAATTCCAACTGTCTTTTTATCCGTTCTTTTGAAAGCAATAGCTCTTTGCAGAAACGTAGACATGGGTACAGTTTAGCCACTGTAACTTGTATTTTCTGTACATTTTGACTCTTTAGCTCGAGGTGATAATAGTATTTTTCATCTGTTTGACTGCTTTGTATGTTGATAAGGTGGGATTTTTCAGAGTCAACTTCTAAAATCTGGACTCATGAGAGATTCATCCCACTGCAAAATTCTAACCTTTCAAACCGTAAATGCAGAGGAATTTTCCTTTTCATAGAAGGAATTTACTATTTAAAAAAATAAACAATACTTCATTATTCTACCCTTTAGTGTGATTTCCCTTTGCAATTTTATCCCTTTTCGGTGCTACATTTCGACAAAACCAAGAGGAGTATGGTAAATGAACAAAGAATTTTAAAAACTACTCACCTTTAGGAAGAAAATTTAAAAATTTCAACTACACGGTATCAAGGAAAGCTCGTTTTATACAATTGTTTAAAACCTATGGTAGAATCGCATAGTCGAAACATCGTGCCATTAATATATAAATTGCCCTTAAAAACATCCGCTTTGGAAACTTAAGATAATGATTTTAAAAGACATCTATGCTTGATGTAATATAACGTAATTATGTCACTGTACTGCAGTTCGAAAATGGTAATTTTTATTACAACAATGTGACCTTAATTTGTGCGAAAAACCATGTAAGTTAAAAAGTGCGCTGAGCTGTACACTGTGTACTGAGGTATACTTTTCATACGGCAGATAATCTTTGTATTTATTTAGATTTTTTCTCAGATTATTAATTTCATAAATTTTTGATAATGAAGACTGTGAGAAGGGTTCATATAATCAAGAATTAAATGGAAGACGTAATTTCTGCAGTAAGCTCAGCATTGCTCTTATTGATATCAATTTCCAATCAATATATTCATACGCCAAAAGATAGGCAACAAGTAAAGAATAATCCAGTAATTTTTAAAATGATATGCAAGTTTTAGAAACTCATTTAAGCCAGAAACACAAAGTCAAGTTATTTATATTGTCAGGTATTTGATTAAGTATCAAACTAAGCTTCACTCCCTTGAGATTGAAATTTGTTATGTATACAAGTTTTCATTTCTTTTAATCTTAAAAGTCTGAAACAACCTAAAACATAATATATTCCTTATGAAAGGAAGCAAGATTCTCATTTTTAAAAAGAAAAATAAATTTTCCATTAAATCTGCCTTACATATCAATTCTTTCTAGCTGGAAATTAAAAATAAGCTTTTTACACAGCGTATTAAGACAGTTTAGTATCGAATAATTCAAGTTATTGTGATTTTAATTCAAGTCACGTGGTGTAGGTTGACCCATTCAAAGGTTACAGGGTAGAACCGGTTTTATAATAACCGCGTTTTTTAATTTGTTGTTAACTAGAAAATATGTATAATAAAATGTAGTTTGTGTCAAGTTCAGAACACCAGAGCTTCGAGATAATGAAACCGAGCAGCATCTCCTGAGCATTTATACGAACAATACCCGTGATCACACGTGAATGAATTCAAATGAAATTGAAGTACATTTGTACAGATACCGGTATTATAGGGTGGTATAAATAGATACACAACATAACATCTCTGTTTACCATGTTTCCACGCGCTAGTCACTTCCTAAACACATTTCCGTGATTAAACCCTATCTCGCTGTAGTCTCGCTTACTCTCGCCAGAGCTACTGCCAAAGCTACTTTGAACTCCTTGGGTTTTATAATTTGCAGAACACCGAAAAATAAAAAGTTCCGAACACATTAGTAGGGGTGTATACATGTAGTGTTGACTAAATGCAATGTTAGATACGTACAACTAGGTAATTAACGGACGCCTTGTTGCGTCTTAATACATGTAACATATGATTGATATTTTAAGTACATTTATAGCAACTGAATGATAAAACGCAACATAATGATAGAAATATCACAGATTATTCCATTAATAGTTGATATCCTCAACCACTAATGCTAAATAGGTGCAAAAAAAGTGGAGGGTGGGCTAAGCCCCGCTTAGGTCCCCCCCCCCGTTTCCGACGCCTATGTTTCCCATCTTATGATTTTTAAAATAACCCGATAACATATACATGTTATGTTGAAAAATTGTATGGGAAGATACGCACAACTACATGAAGGTAATAACGAACGCCTTGTTGCGTCTTAATATAAGTATATGTTTGATATTTTAAGTACATTTATAGCAATTTAATGATAAAATGCCGCTTAATGATAGAAATATCATACATGATTCCACTAATATTTGATATCCTCAACCACTATTTCTAAATAGCCGCTTCATGAAAGAACTTTATAATTAGGCAGTTGAGAATTTCAATAATTTACATGTATGACATTAAGGTATCCCGACCCTCTGCTATAAATTTCACTAAGATAATTATGTTAGACTTCCTCGAATTGACTACTCATAGTTCTGAATTAGGAAACTATGATTAAAAAAAATATGAGTAGTATTCATATTTTGAACTTTGAAAGTTATCTTTCTTATCAGAGGGTCGGTACCCCTTAAGGGGGATTCAAGCCATAATTCTAGTCTGGTGTAAAATAAGAAATATCCAAGAATGCGCTTAATTCTCTACATCTAGCCAAAGTGGCTCAAACTCTAGCACTAAATACCTTCTGTTAGAACCAAAATTAGTCAACAATTAAGTGTTTTAAATTAGGAGGAAATTAATCATTTAGACTGCTACAGGTAATAGCATTGTACGAGTTGATAAATCAAAACAATAAAATTAGTTTGAATCATTGATAATATCTAACGATTTGTTTCGCTTTTTTCTTGTCATTATCCATATTCTTGAAAATTTGTTTTCATTGAAAATGTATTTATTTTCCGCCATTCCTCTGTCACAAAATTCGATTAACATTGATTTTAGTAAATGCGACCATAATAACATCAAGACAATATATATAGGTAATAATCATAGGTTTTATTACTTACTTTTTATTTGTTGCAATACATCATGATAAATGTCAAAAAATTGCGATTTTAACCCCACTGCAAATGGATCTGTTTACAGTTCGAGTTCAAAAATGTTTCCAAAAATGGTTGGCATGTGCATATATTGCTGTATTTATATACAACCATGATTATATACAAATTTTTTGGAACAAGTCTTTAATTTGTTGGTTTCTTTAAAACTCAAAAAATAATATCATAAAAATATATATATACATGTACTTACGGCTGGTCTTTTTGAATTCAAAAGTTATTGTCAATGGGGCACTGCAATCAGGATGCTAAATTAATTTGAAAACACAACAATTGCAAAAAACAAATAATTTCATTGTTTAAAATTGGTACATAATGTATATTTTCTTTAGAAGTTAGATACCAAAATAGGCAGTTATAGGATTTCCTAGGCACCTTTATTAATAGCTAGATTGTTTGCATTGAAACACATTTATGGAGTAATGTTTGGACAAAAAACGCATCTGTCTCATTATGACAAACACAAGCTCTCGCTTATTGTACAAGAAAATAAATATATTGAGTTGTTTCTTTGAAATTTAGAAGCGAGTACAATGTTTGCAAAGAAAGGTTTGCAAATCTCATCTGCATAAAAAATTCTTGAGCAAATATCCTATGTTTGTTTTTTTAATAGTGTTTTAAAAAAATCTGCAACTAAAAATAATAAGTCCACTTGTTATAAAAAAATATGTTAGCACAATTCTCAAGCATCTAAATGCCTGGAAATTAATTTTATACATCCCATTACACAATTATTTTTATACTTTGTTTCCGTAACAATTGTGTTTAAATTTTAAGGAATTTTTATTTATGATAAATACAAATAATCATTTCCCTTAAAGTTGGGATATTTAAAGATGGTATAAAATATTTAATTATATTGTGTTTTAATTTTGACAATATGGGCAAATAAATTTTTTGACACAGTACCTGCATGATTAGTATTTTCAGATTGTGACTCAAAACAAGTTTCAGCATATGCTATTTATAGAACTTGTGTTTCAGATATGTTTCTAATCTGAATTGTGGAAGTAGATAGAGATAGAAAACTTTTTGATCATGGTACTAGATATTAAAACAAGGTCATTCATAATTATATGTGTCTTAATTGAAATTAAAATTTTGATATTATAATTTATCTATGACAAACTTACAATCTTACAAATATTGCTCATTTTTCACTTTGAATCAGAAGTTTTTGGATTTTTTATATCCTATACCATTAGCAAATTATAAAATACTAAATGAATTACTCCAAGCCACACTATAATTTCCTAAAACGTAACATAATGAAATATAAATTCTCACATTTAAAGATTATGTCCATCCATATTTGAAGATCAAGGAAAACAAAATTCTGTATATCAAATATAGAATGAAAGCTATTTATAATACTTTCATGGCAGTTGAGAATTTCAATCATAATTTACATGTATGACATTAAGGTATCCATGTTTCTGCTAAATAAATTTAAAAGATAATTATTTAGACTTTTCTCAATTGAAATGGTACTCATAGAACATTAATGCACAATTTGGATAACGGCACTGCTGAAAAGCTTAAAAAATATCAAAAGCATTATTCAAAAATATAGATTATATAACATTGAAAGTTATCTTTCTTATCAGAGAGTCGGTACCCCTTAAGCGTTCAATGATAATTCTATCATGAAGTGGCGTTAACAACTTATCTTTAGCGGTTGCTTCACACATCTTATTGCTTTGGCTTCAGTAATCAGCATTCAAATTTGTCGGTGTGCGAAGTTTAGTATCGAGGTGCTGCATGTGAAGACTGGTGCACAATTCGGGATATTCGACATCTACAGCAATACATCATTGTCAGGAATTTTCACATCAGAGATCGACGGAACACAATACAATCAATACAAATCAGACATCATCAACGATTGGACGAAAAGAAATATACAGAAGGTACTATTACTGTTTTCACATGAAAATTACTCAGAATTTATTTTCTTACCTTCACACAATCAACTTTTGTTTGTTAGTTGATATAAAGGTAGTGCAAAAGAAACTGGATTCCACATTTATTAGATGGATATTATTATGTTTCAAAATATTTACTAAAAATTAATACATAAACATAAAATTGTTTGTATTCATATACGACCGTACGAAATGTTATCAAAAAAGGGTGCCTTAATAAAGCGTTCTTAGAAACTACTTTTTTTTCTTTTTTTTTTTTTGAATGTATCAAACGAGAAACGGACACAAATAAGCTTCCAAATACATTGGTTTTTATGCCAGCTTTTTTAAAACATCTTTTAAAATGTCAGCTGTAATGCAACTAATTTAATTAAATTATAAAATAATCACGCACACAAATCGACGTTTTAGTAAAAAACATAAGGCTTGCATTCAAAATTTTTTTAAAAAATAAATTCAATATTCTATCTTGAATACTATTGGCATGCACTTATAGAAGGCATTCTTATTTTTATTACAATAATCAAGTTGTACCATATTACACATGAAGTACTTGAAGAACCAAAAATATTTCATCTTGTTTTATTCATGTAACAAACACCCAGGCAACTAGCGTTACTTATTTTTCTACTTTATTAAAAAATAATCCCAGACCTAATAATGGAGTTTTATGACGAGTCTTTTACAATTGACGACTGACTTCTACAATTGAACCAGAGACTTTTTCCATTTACTAAAATGTAAAAGTCAGCTGTCGAATGTAAAAGTAAGTGTCTTCATAAAACTCCAATAGTATTATTAGGTCCTGGGTTATTTTTTTATATACGAGATACGAAAAATAAGTAACCACAGGTTCCTGTTTGTTTGTTTTATTTTTTCTTACGCATACTATATTTTATTGTACATATTTCACGTTTGTATCTTCTCTATACTGTTGTAACAGTTTGATGAAAATAAACTATTGAATTGAATTGAACAAACATTTCAAAAGAATCAAGGATTTTTCAAAAGATCACACTAATTGTCCAAAATTTCTTGTTAGGTCAAATCCTGGCAAAGAGTGTTTTTTTTTTTAATTTAAAACAAATTAATACAAACATCAAAACTCGAATCAAGAAAAAAATTGTATTACATGTATTCAATTTTCAAGCATTTCAACGAAATCATTATGCTTTTCACTTTTTCTTTCATCAAGCATTTAAACATCTTACTTCAACCTATTCTTTATACATCAAATGAATTACTAACGGTTTGGTGAAGGTAATGTTTCAATTATTTCTGGTATTATATAAAAATTATAAGGGTATGATCTTTACTGTTTAAAAAGTGTACGTAATGGAAAGTAAGATTGAAACTTTGAGTTATTACAGGTAAAAATAAGCCTTAGCAGTCAGGGTCAGGTAGCAGCGTTTTTTGAGTTTGATGGAAGAAGTACCACCAGCATGAACTGGATGTCTAAATCACGGCTAATCAATTCGTCATATTCTGATCTAGATGAAGCTTCGATGCATTACTGCGAAATCAGGTGATTTTATGACCATCAAAATTTCTTGATGTAAAGTTTTACAAAACAAAACCATTGAATGGGTAGCATTTTTCACAACACTTCTGAAAAAAATATCAATTAAAATTTCCATTTATGAAAGAAAAGGACCACTTTTGTGTTAATTAGTGCTGATTTTACACATTTTTTGAATTTGAATTTTTTTCATTCTTAATTTGCACACATTGAAAACACAACTCTGAAGCCATCTTTTCCAACCTTTCTAAAAAATAAGTCCAAAGATAGCAGTCAATTAGAAACCAAGAGTAAGATTCTTATCATAATAAAATATGACAATGTAATATTATAAACACTTCGTACATAATCAAAATAAATGCAAAACTCTTAACCATAACAATATTCTGAATTAAACCACAAGCAATGAAGATCAATAGAGAATTTTAAAAGTGAATAATTCGGAAAGCAATTTTCATAAGAAGAGATTCATCTATACTAAATTATTTTTGGATTCTGTATTGTGAATATTTCATGTTTTTAATATTCTCTCTATACTGTTGTTCCAGTAATTGAGATTAACTAATTGAAAAGGATAAATTTTACCGTAAGCATTCAGGACAAGACAGATTGCACCTTGAACTCAGGTTGTGAATCCATAAAACGATCGATTCTCAATGCAAATTGTGACTATATGCGAGTACTTCCTGGGGTCTTGAGAAAAAAGGGACCAATATTCAAAGAATATTTTAGAACTTAATCAAATATACAACCAGGATATAAGGTGCACAGACTGATGCTAAAATAGAGCTACATTTTCCTAGTATGGAGGGCTAATACTTTAAGTCCTATACTCAATATGATAATTAAAATAAGTCTATAAGACCCCAATTTTTCATCAAAAGACGGATAAGAGTCGGATTCAAGAAAGGAAAGAACCTTACAACTATTATCTCATCTCCATGCTTATCATTAGTCTAGTATTTGGAAGTATGTTTCTGAACTTTCCACCAATAGAGTATTCGAGGACTAGAAACAGAAATCATTGCAAATCGTAGATAACCTCATTATTATTACAATTTTAAATGTCAGCCGTTATCTTTACTTATTTTTTTTTTATTTTTTTTTTTTTGCACAACTTCTTTACATAATTTTGTGTCCTCACGTATGGAGGATGTCAAAAGCAAATCTTTTCACTCTAAAACTAACAGAAGATCTTAAGGGTATTATAATTTCTATCCTCAAATGAGACAAGGGGTACGCACTGGTGTTCCAGGATTTTGAGAATAATTTCCTTTTCTTCTTTTCACTATTTTTCACCATTTTCACCTTTTTTTCCTTTTGCTTAACAAAATGATGTCTGAGTACAAATTCATGTAGTAGGGGACCGCTGCAATAGGAAGTTCATTTCATCCTCATTAGGGTCTAATGTTTGAGGATCTGGGGCCTTAAAGCCGATTGCGAGTACTCTAGATCTACTGTAGAATACTCGTTATCTTCATATATTTCACTGGTAGTAATATACAACCAAGCAAATTCAAAAATTGTGGTCGCCCCCCCCCCACGCTTTTCGTTGCTTAAGTAGACGGAATGCCATTATTCATTGCATATTGTGTCAAATATGAACGTTAACCATATGTCATTCAAAATATAACCACTAAAGATAAAGTTTCAAAGTGATAAATGATCCTAGTCCTCAAACAACCTTAATAGGCAAGGAACATGGAAGCTATTCTCCAATCTCAGGGAACACCAGATAGTATTTTTACAGCCCCTAACCGCAGTTCCGGAACAACTGTTTTCCTTTTGGTAGAGAATTTCGAAGGCTAAAGGGGGTCTTCTGTATGCATTTGTACAGTGTCTGATGTCTTCTTCAATTATGGACTTATTGACCCTCACGACATTATGTAGGTTGTTGATTATAATTTTAGGGAGAATCTTTATATCATTACCAATTGTGAGAATGACAATCTTGATTTTACCTGCATTTTTCTTTAACCAATTTGATATAAAGTAAACCTAATATTAACAAGTAAAAACTTGTTTTCAAGTACTTCAAAGCCCTGATTAAAAAAAAAAATATTTATTTTTTTCACATAAATTATATATGGATGACACATTTGTGATATAATCTATCCTATCAATTCAGAAAATTTGCTTAAACTAACATAAATATAAAAAAAAATTTTTCTCTATATATTTTCATATATAGGTGAGCGCTGTGGATTTTATAGAACGTTTGTTTTAAATTTTTCGATTTGTTTGTAAAGATCTTATCACAAATATGTCAATTATAAAAAAAAAAGTAAAAATCTCACTATATCGAACAGGGGTGTGTCTTTGGTCTCTATCTGTTTCCGATTGACAAATAAATATACAGTCAATATACATGTGTATCTACTTAAGTTTACAAGCAACTCATACGATTGGGTGGATTTGAATATCAATACAATATATTAGCGTATTTTGTCAGAATATCATATTATGATAAAAAAAATCTACCAATTACCTCATTTGACCTAAAATAAATTAGCACAATAAGATCAATAATATAAAGGTTGACAATTGATAAAATATCAGGAAAAAAATTTCTTGATCAAAAATCATTCTTTATTTCAATTTGATGTATATATGTATATATACTCAGATTTCGGGAGAATTTAAGAGTCCATAGAATGTTTTATATTGCTGCACCACACAACAAATGTGAAGGGGACAGTGGATGGCTAGTAGTGATACCATCAACCAATTATGAACCTTGTAACGTTGACCAAGTTACTTCTACAACAATATGGTATAGTGATCTGAAGACAAAGAAACTCTTCAATGGTATGTATGTCGAATAAAAAGACATGGATACTGTAAAATCACATATTTTCGTGGGATCAAATTTTCAAGATTTAAAGAAAACATATTGGATTTTGTGGATTTGATTTCGTGGTTGGAAAATGTTTAAAAGTATAAGATAAGAATTCTTTGGTCTCACCGTACCTTGAAAGCAACGAAAATTAACCCCCCATGAAAATTACTGATTTCACAGTATTTAACCTGAATGTCCATCATCTCATTATCTTGGAAATCTATTTTTACGTGTATGTTGGGTAAACACAAATGTAACAACACTTTGGTTTGAATTGAAATTATATAAACGGAATGAGCTTCCACTCTATAAAGTATTATGCTAAATAATATGTGTTTTATAAAGACCTATTTGTAAAATTCTATAGTCATCCATAATGCTAAAAATACATATAGCTTGCGAAACTTTTAACTCTTATGTTATTGTAATTCGTAGAACAGAAGACACTTTTGGATTTATTTACTAGTAATCAAATTAGGATCTACATATCATTTTTGAAAGCCGATATCGATGTTACAGTAACTATAAAGATATAGCCATCAATTATTTTCTTTTCTTGGAAAATTTAAGATGTTGAATTCGATTTCTGTCACATTCTTTGTCTCGCTTTGGTCCCAGCGCTACAAAACATGAAATCTCTTCAGGGATTTTCTCAGCGTAGAAGTGAGTTGAAGATTAGGATCAAACTATAAATTTAATCAAACATGTGTAGGAAAAAAATTCTTTTGATATTTGCGTTCTCAAGAACTTACATATACTAAAAATGAAATTTTAATTTCTTTTTATATCAGATCTCCAGAAAGCAGATAGCATGACCATTGAGGTTGAAATGGGTGAGAATTTATACTATACACTGATGATATACAACTCATCAGTATTTTTGCATATTTTGAATACTTACATCAGCTACTTTGTTCAAACCTCAACTACTTTTAATTTCATATGATTTAATATAATTACATGTAGATGTTAACTGCAATGACAGCGAGCTGTTCGTTGAAAATTCAACTCACATCCTGTCAGGTGCATACAACGAGATTGTTACCTATCAATGTCTGGAAGGATTTCGTCACACATCAGGAGACTTAATAAGACGGTGTACACAGACGGGGCAGTGGAGTGGTTCGAGTCCTGTCTGTGACAGTAAGTTAGATTTAACTGCCCTTATATATTTAAATATATATCTAAGGAAGACATTTCAGCAATTTTGTTTACGGGCGATTAGCAAGACGAGGTTCCCCATGAGTATACGACGATGAATAACGTGAGCGAACAGTTAGCGTAAATGCGAACGTGTAACGTCAAAACTAAATTGGTAATTACGTGCACGTGTTGGCGATAAACACAGGTGTAAAAAAAAAATTAAGGTAACTCCCATTGCAAATTATTAAAGTAATTTGTTGTGTAAAAATCAGTAATTTTTTTTATTAAGCAGATCATATTAAATTACGCTTTTTTTAATTGAGTCTAAAATATAGTTTTCTCTCTTGCATGAGAGAAATTCTGCATCGCATTTTTAAAATATAACTACATTTTATGCGATATTTTATGGTGATCATTTAATATACAATTAACAGAAGCATACTTTTTGTGCTTTAATATATATTTTGATAATCAAAAATTACATATGTTAATCCGTATGATACAACAATATGCAAATGTAAAGAAATGCAAATTGACTTTTCCATCAAAGCAAATAACATCCATGTCATTCTAAAGCTAAGAAGCCATTTCAATTCAAATAATGGGAAGATCTGATGGGTGTTTACAGAAGTAATTTCTCAAGACTGTTTTTAATAAATTTGCTTTTGAATTTGGAATTGGCTATAACTAATATATATTTGACATGGCGTATTTATGCAGGGAAAGTAAGACACGGATTATGTTTGATTAAATACCTTAGCCCCTGGAAAATATTCATGATCTTTTTGGAACCAGTTGTTGTTTAAAAGTACTCATTGTATGTCAATTCAAATTTGTTAATTTTACCGGCAAAATTTTTTTTTTCACCAAGGAAAATGCTTTACCCTAAATTTTCACTCAATGGGACATCTTAAAGACTTTTATTTCAAGGGATGTGGGTATCTATTCTCTTAACAGAGGTTGTCAACAAAGCTTATGTCTGAAAATTAAGAGAACGATCCTGTCAAATATCAAAGAGATTGATTTTTCAACTTTTTTCTATAATGTCTGTTAAAGGTATTTTTCACAATGGGACAAGACGTAAAAGAACGGTTATTCCAGAATATAGTGGTCTGTCAATTTGTACATATGTCTAACGTTAGACAACATTATTGCCCTTATATATTTCAATATATAACAAGTGAATGTTTATTATCAAATTTACCATAATGTAAATTATTTCCTATTAGAACGCTGGTAAACCTGTAATTGAGTTTTAAAGCGTAAATTGTTAGTGAGAGACGAATGGACTGTAAACGTTAAAGCTAAACTGGTAATAGAGTGGTGAGCGATTTGTAATGGCGAACGAAATATGGATTTAGTAATTGAATGGCAAAGGAATGGTGAGTACATGAACGTAGAAAATGAGTGAAAGACAATCAAAAAACAACAGAAAACATAGAAGGTGAGTGAGTGGCGAACGAACAGATAGCTTAAAAAACGTGAGAGATTGAAGATCAAGCAGTGAACATAAGAACAAAGTCTTTGAGTAGACGCAATTAAAGGGAAGGAAAGGGTTGGATACACATATTAATGTTCATAGCATACATTTTGTGCTTTCAATATATATTTCAGAATGCTGTATATGTAAAAATACATATATTAATCCGAATGATACAGAAGCAATAGATGCCAGTGTGAAGAAAATTAAATCTGAACTTTCCATCAAAGCAAACGAAACATCCATGGCTCAACGAAAGAAGATAAGTGCTACAGATAACCGACCATCATCCAAAGTAATGGGCAGTATACTAGGGGGTGTTTTGTTGGGAAGTCTTGTATTCATTATTGTGGTTAGTGATTTAGCTCTTTTGTTAAGTCACATTAAAATGGCAATATACAATATAAAACAGGGCAGTATTGCGAAGGTTAAAAGTAAGTAGAAGACCAATTTTAGTAATTACACAATCTTAAGGATATCTTACAGATGTACGAGTATATTAAGTTTGATCTCCATGTTCTTGAATTTCTAAAGTCACTAAAAATTTTTATTCCAAAATTTAAAGTTCATTCTCGAAATAGAGAAAACTGGTGATCAACTCTTGGAATTAACTTTATAGCTATAAGAATCACATTCTAAATGTTTATTAAACGAAATAAAATTACCAAAAGGTAATGAACCATCAGATCATAGACTTCATCATAGAAACTCTCCCACTGTTACGGGTTAGCTTATATGAGCCGAAGGCTGAAGCGAGCACTTATGATCACTCGTTGTCAGGCGTCTGTCCGTCTGTCTAACTGTCTGTATGTCTGTTAGACTTGGGGGATGCCGATGTCTTATCCACAACCCCTCCCAAACAACTGAATAAATTATAATATTTCCACAGATCTTTATCTACAGTGCCATTGTGCGACTCTTACTTTATGTTTTGATTAGAAAGATAATTGGACTTCCATTCTTTCCATTATGATCCGCTCCCCTAAATACTGTAGTATTTTTATTAACCTTTTTTCATAAAGTTATCTTCTAGTACGCATTTACATTGTATTCCATATGAAAAATGTAAATGTATACTAGAAGATGAAAAAAAGATAAATAAAAATATCTTAGGACCCGGGGTGTATCGGAGGTCCTGACCACCACCACCTGTGTAATGTTGGGGATCCAGAACCCCACTTGTACCACTAAATAATGATGAGACTTCCCTAGAATCTCTATTACATTGTACCATTGTTCACCACCTCCTACCGTGCAATTTATGTTTTATTCCGGGTTTCCCAAAACAAAACATGGTTTTTGACATTATACTTCTTCATAACACAGGTGCTTGAGGACAGGACCCCCCCCCCCCCCACCCCCCCACCCCCCGCAATATAGACCCCCGGGACTGTTAGACTTTTTTCACATAAATTATATATGGATGACACATTTGTAATATAATCTATCCTATCAATTCAGAAAAGTTGCTTAAACTAACATTTTATAAAAATTTCTACCCCACTCTCTGTATATAAATTATCCCGGGCCAGGATTGTTAGTATGACAAAAATAACAGAGTAACATATATAGACCAATGTAGAATGTAGGGTAGATTTTGTAGAACGTTTGTTTTAGGTAATTTTTCGATTTTTTTGTAAAGAACTTATCACAAATATGTCAACGAAAGATTATTTAATATGATAAAAAAGTCGAAAAATCCAAGGGGTATATATCGAAGGGGGGTGGGTCCTGTCCTCAAGCACCTGTGCTTCATAGCACCTAATCCAACTTCTGATGTTCCTAACATGCTAAAGAATCTGGGGGGTTTTGTGTAGTTACAGTGGACTGTTGATCTTGATTACAGTATTATGCGTTATCTCCATATTTAACTCATATAAGAGCGGGTAGGTAGCATTTTATGAACTCAGTGCTCAAAGTACCACTAATTTAATTTTTTTGGTAGTGAACTCAAATGGACCAACTGTCCATTAAATTAAATATCATTAATACATGTATTCCAATTAAAAAAAAAACTTTATATGATACGTGAACTCCATCCTCCGCAAGACTAAATAAAATTGCAATTTCATAAAGCCTCCTTTTTGTGAACTCTTAAATACAATATATGGAGATAACGAACAGTATTCAAGCTCAAAAGTCCATTAAACAATAGGAGCAGAGCAAACACGGGCCTACAAAACATCAGAGGTGGAATCAGGTACATGTATCATGGTAGATGCAAAGCTCCCGATCAGTTTAAGAAGCTTAAATTTTACCAAAAACTTTTTACACATTGTCTTATTGACAAATTCTAAACCCTGATTGAAAGAAAACAAGTAACTTGACGTTTCTTTCGGAATTAAAAGGTAAATTTTAATAACTAAATGCGTAAAATTATGAAATATCGAATCAGTTATGTAGAATTAACTTTTAAAACATTGTGGTAAAATATTGCAAACGACGAATGCAATGTATTTTAAGCAATGTCTCCTGGTACTTTTACTTATAAATTTTGGACAATTTTATTGGTTTTTGTTCATTTATAATTTTTCAAGTTCTATTATTTAAGATTTTTTTTCCAAAAAAAAAAATGAAATGTTTACTGTAAACCAACTTTTATTCGCGACGACTTTATTTCGCGATTTACCAGGGACAAACTAGTTCGCGACGATTAATTTTCGCAATCAAGCCTTTTTGCATCTGTTTTTAACAGACAAATATACTATAAGGACCGGTTCGCGACGAGAAATATTCGCGATGACGAGGCTCTCGCGAACTTCGCGAAAATTTCTCGCACGCGAATAAAAGTTGGTTTACAGTATTTAATTACACGTGTATGTGTAGAAGTTCTATAAATTTGTCTTTTGATACATCATTTTTATTACAATATCTTATTTCATTCATTTTAAAAATTATGATCATATATATACAAATACAATGTACATGTACATTACAAATATATTACTAGAAGCACAAAAGGTCTTTCCTTTCTTATTTGTCAGTTTGATTGTTTGATACAATTATACATGTAATATTTTCAACAAAAATACTGTTTTTTTAAAATTTAATTTTATTTGATTTTGATTATCAAAATGGTATTCTGTGTATAAGAAGTGTGACAGAACTTACGATTTTCCTCATATCTTTAATTTACGAACTGTTACCGTGCAGAATTGACTTTTTAAAACAATATTTCTATTGGGCTTTTATTTTGTCATTAATCTCTAGAAGACTGGAGTTCTGACAGGATTTTTTAAAAAAATGGCTTGTACTTCACGCTCGTGAAAATTTAAAATAAAAATTCTGTCCTACTCGTTAAATCAATTCCACATTCAACAACAAAGGAGTGATACATCAAGCATCAATGTCCCTTTAAAACAATTAGTTCACAGTCTTCATTAAGATGTCGGTAAATGGCATGGTTTTCTCTTAATTTACGTATAAATTGTACGTAAACATGAAACAGATTTTTAAGTCACCTGAAATTGAAATTTCTATAATCATTACCTTTGATTAATAATCTTTTATATTTTTAGTGTACATGTGTATTTCTATTTTCTACCTGCAATGATACTAGTATATGACAATTTGATGAGTGAGTTTCTCTGAAGTGTTTGGGCATTTTAATTAAATCGTGTTTATCTTATGTTCTTGTCAATCAATTTGTGTTTAAAAATTAATGAAATCAATGACTAATTTCTCAAATCAAATTTTAAAAAAATCCAGAAATAAAGTACATGTACTTAATCTCGAGAGAGGGGAAAACAACCATCAAAGGAAATTGTTTTTATACTAATCTTTTGTTTTACGCCATAAAAATTAAATGCAATCTCTTCGAGTAAAAATAATAATCATACAAATACAGAATCAATAACCACGATAAATAAGAAAATTTGATTTTACAAAATAAAATCCGAAAGTTGGATCGCTGATTTTACAATTTAATAATATATAAAGCCTAGAAAATCCCACAAGAACGAAGTTCAGGATAACAGGGAATTTGATCTGGTAAAAAAGAATACTAGTATACAATTTTATACAGTTACGGGATGGGTACGAAACTGTCGAGGGAAATAGTTTCCTACCGAGGGAACCATAATTTACTATTCCCTATTATTATTTACTATTTATTAAACTACAGAGACTTTTAAAAAAAAATATCTAGGGGCATAAAATTTATCGCAAATGCATGTGACTTAAATTTCGTTAGATTTCTAATTAATCGATCTAATAAAAATAATGAATATTAAATAATAATAATAATAATAATAATAATAATTTCACTGAAAATTTGAAGAATTATCGTTTTCTTCATAATTTTTGCTTGAATAGTCCAGTTAGATTATGACTCTGCATGCCGAAATATTTTGACGTCATATTAAATTCCCATGCCATAAAATTTTGCAATAGGCCCGGGATTCCATTTTTTATTTTAATAATTGGTTTACATTATACAAATTAAAAAAAATAAATTTATACGTATTCATGAGGAATCAGTCCCAGGGAGTAGTTCTTATTTTTTAGGGAGTAGTCCTCATGCAAGGGACAAATACAGTCAATTATCGAATTAATCGCCATTTTTGCAATACCGCCATGATTTTCCAATTCATCGCATTATACCGCCATGATTTCTAAATTACAAAAGATGGCGGTTTATCGAGAATTAACTGTATTACTTCTCAGGGAATAGGTAGTTTTAAGGTTTTAACTTTCTACGGAGAAATAACGTTAGATGTATGATAAAAAGCATATTGATATTATTTTGTTCCACTTTGAATAACTATTGAATCGGTGAAGCAATGTTTCCTTTACAGCTCTGAAAAGCTCATGAAAACAGAGTGCTTTCAGCTTTTTTTTTTAATTTTTACCAAGGGAAAAGTCCGTATGTATAATTAATTAAATCGAATGCAATAAAAGAAA